TCCCGTGCAGCCCCCAGCGCAGCCAGGGGTTTGCTGGCCCTCTCCCGTGGGGCTGCGAGGGCAGCAGCGCCGGCCTCTCGAAACGATCCATTGGCTGCTCTTACAGTGTAGTAATGTCATTCACCTTCGTGTGCGACACTTCACGTCATTACGTGGAGCCCACTGGGATTTCTGTTGTGTGCACCCAGTGGGGTTTTGCGTTGACTTTTGCTTAGGCAGAGCCTCCTTTGATCACGTCCAGATGGAGACTCCCCGGTAGCTGCTCCGCGTCTGTGACACGTTCCTGTCCGAGGAGCTGCCCCGTGTGTCCCGCTGTCCCTGCCCGGACGCGGAGCCCGGCTCATTCTGCTAAGTGCTGTCACCAGTGCGCCGTGTATTTGCTTACCTGCGCATGCACAAGTAGCTGAACGTGCTCAGGGCACTGTGTACTCTGGTAAAATGCTTTGTGAGATAGTTACCAGCTGCTCTGACCCCAAACTAGAGTGGACTAATGAGCAGTAATTATATTTTCTTTTCTCGAGTGTTGGATTATAGATTTGGTTGGTTTTTGCAATTAGCAGGCTCCTTTTGGATGGCTTGAGAGTGCTGTGCAAAATCAAATCTTCCTGCTCAAGTGGAACTGTAGATATATATATTTTTTGAGACACAAATATTCCAAGGCAGCCTTTATCAGAGATTCAATAAAAACTTGTAAATCAGCTTCATCGGTCATAGCTTGCAGGCATCATTCCTTTGTGTGAATCAACATTTATTTTCCAAAATGTGTTTCATAATAGTACTAATGTGATTATGCCACTTTTCTACAGAACAACAGCATGATTTTAAAGGAGATTTGTAAATACCACGGCCTTTCCCATTTAAAGATATTTAATTTCTTTCTGTTCACATGTGCTTTGAATGTTACACAGCTGGATCACAAAATTCTTTTTATCTTTTTAGGAGATTCAGTGTGCTACCAGACTTTGGCTCTCCTCTGTTAATGCTTTATATAAATTGGATTACAGAAATGATCAGGGGTTGGAAAGGGACTTTTGGAAGGTTTAAAGCAAGCTGTAGCCATAGCACCGTTATGTTCTCAAGAAATTTTTTATGCCCTAAAGCACCTTGTTGAAGTCTAGACTTAGCAGTATGAATCTGAACCAACTTAGGGTAAATACACAGCGTGTCTTCAGCAAACTGCTGGCAACGTGGACCCCAACATGAGCCTCATGATGCGGCCTCTGGGTACTTGCCTGGTGCTTCGTATCCATTGACTCCACTAAGGACATTCAGCCACAGAAAATGCCCCCCAACTCAAAGAGTTGGCCCCCAAATATCTATCTATATATATAGATATATGAGGGAGCATATGTACTTGAGTATAACTTAGATTAGCTTAATCCTCATCTGCTCTTTGCCTTAGGAGATGGGGGTTACCTCTCCTCAAGGAAATGAAAAACAAGCTGAAGCGAGGCAGAAAGATCTGTGATAAATTGGTGTGGAAACTGTTAATGGAGCCAAATGTCCCGAGTTTATTGGATTAAGGAAGTCAAACTAATTTTAAAATTATGCTTAGAGAGGGAGAAAGTGGATATTGTTAGCCATTTGCCTGACACGACGGAAAAGTCCTAATGGCAATCATCTCGGCACATTAGGAAAACACCGCCAAGGCTTGTGCTGACAAGATGCTTTCTCAGAGATTATTAATTATATTGCACTATTAGTTAACCACACTATGGCAACATATTTTGCATGTGAACTGAAGTGCAGTGACCATTTAGCTAGTAAGTATGACTTGGTCTTTTGAATCTTCTTAATGATTAGCAGCTTAGTAGAACTATAACACCGAGAGATAAAAAATAATGACTGAACAAGCTGTATCTCCAGCACAAGCTTTAGCTGGAGCTTGCATGGAGCCAGGGCAGGGTAAGTGCAGTGTTCCTGATTGTCAACCTGTTGTGACAAGAGGAGAGTAAACAGGCCCGCAGGTTTAACCTCTCCTGCAGCCATCCCCACACCAGGTACTGTGCCCTTGCCATAGGTGCTGCTTTACAGTAACTGAATCCAGCTTTTTATTTCCACACATTTAGTAACGCATAGGAGAACTCTGGTTAGGTGAGAGTGTTGCTGAACGATTGACCCTTGCTGCTGAGCTAATAATCCTGAATCTAACCCGTCTTGGCAGTGTCACTGACTGATACCCCTCAGGCTTTGGGATGAAGCTCGTGGGAAATTTAGCGAGAACATCCTTTCTCCTGTGGCACAAACTGAGTCCAAGTGTGGAGGAGAATTCACTTACAGTAGGGTTTGGTGGGGTGTTCTTAGGGCCAGGGCATGGGAGGAGAGTGGGCAGCAGGAGCACAGGGATGTGGGCACAGTGCCAGGTCATGGCTTTGAGCTTAAAGCATTGAACTGTGCCAGCATCTGGGCACACAGGTGTGTGTTCAGAGGGTGCATTGCCCCACGCAGGAGGGTCTCCAGGAGGGTGGCAGGGATGGCTGGGGTTGGAGGTAGGTTCATCCTCGAGCTGTTCGGCCCCGGGGCTGCTGACGGCAGCCCTGGGGTCTCTCCTCTGGACAGGGCATTTCAAAGGGATTTAGCTGAGCTTGCACAGCAAATACCACCTCTGCAGGAAACGTGTCTTGCCAGGGACATACCCCCTGTCTGGAGCTGGGCGTTGTGAGATGTTCGGGGAGAAAAACCAGCAGCACAAGCCAACACATGACACAGATGTTGTTCATTGTCATTTTTATGTAACAGACACCGATGACATTGCTGAAAGCAAGAACTCATCTCTCTCTCTTTTTTCCCCTTTTTTACATTCAGAAAATCCATTAAAACATTCAACAGTCTGCAATAGACATCTCAGAGAGCTTCTGAATCTGCCATCTCAGCCAGAAACCTGTAGGCTGCAGACAGGCTTGAAGAGTTTGTCCTGGAGCCTGTGAGGCCCAGAGCTGCTCTCTCCTGTAAGCTCCAGCCCGTGGCCTTGGTTTTTATGCTCTCTGCATGTACAGTTTCAGCCTCAAGTTCCCTGTCCTGTGTAATTCATGACAGCTATCGGCCTGGTTTTTCTCCAATAGGTTGGCTGTCGTTTCAGGAAAGCCTTTGGTGCCGTCTCCTTGCTTCAGTGCACACAGTGCATCAAGTGCATCCTCCCTGACCCATCTGTTGTGATGCTTTTTGTGGTGCTCGATCCCCTGTTACACTATTGTTACTGCTTCACCTAGTCAGGAGCTCCCAGGGACTGTGCAATGTTCATCACTAAATAAATAATGGGTTTCTATCCTGAGAAAGTTGCTAGAAAATATCCTGGTATCAGAACAAAAACAAAACAAAACAAAAAAAGCAAGCTTAAAAGCTCCTGCAAATAGTAGCCTTTTACAACTGTTCCAACATATCACCCCAAAAGGAGGAAAAATCCTGGCAGTCTGATTTTTCTCCCATGCAGGTATCTCGTAAAGAAAAGAGCACAAATATAGAGAAACAAAGCAGCCTCCTCCTTGCAATCTCTCTTTGCTGAAGTACACCCCAGCCTGCAAAACCATAAATGGTGCAAAGAGGGGTTCAGCGCAGTAGAGCATCTTGCAGTTAATGGGGCTGTACCGATTAACCCTTTGGGTTATTATTAATTGTTAGGGAACAGGGGAGGCCCATTAGACTAAGCAGTATACAAAGAGGAGAGGCCCTTCTTGAAAGAGCTGGCAGCCTAAGCAGGGAAGGCAGAGAAAGAGGGTGAGGTTTTGCTCAGTCTATCATACCTAGCACTTGATGTGAGCAGTGTTTTGTGCTGGTAACGCAGCTGAAGTAACACTTGGTTTTTAAGGCATCAGGATGCTCAGTAGAAGGAAGAAGCAGGTCCGAAAAGAAAAAGGTGAAAATGTAAGAATACAGAATCACCCAGTCCCTCCTTCCTTCGTTTCCTCTGTTTTTTGACCTTGTTCAATTTATATGCCTGGCCAGCTAAAAAGATCATGATCCTGTTTCAGCGGGGCTTGAAGATCTACATGTAACATATTCCTTCCATTCTTCCCCGTGTCTCTTTCTGGAGCCCAGCTATATGGACTACTTGAGAGTAAAATGCCAGCTTAGCACCTGCAGCTCCAAGGTCCAAATGTTACAGCCGCAGCAGTCAGGAGGTCGGACTGGTTTATCTTCCTGGTTTGTCAGCTGCAAGGTTTTTGTGAAACGATACTTTTGCCCAAGGTTCTTCCCGTTGTGTAAGGAAGTCCACACTCCATCCCTCTCATCCGTGGCGATTTCTAGGCCTCCTCGCTGCCTCTCAGGTCCTCCAGCTCAGTCATGGCTTTGGCACCTCTGGTGGCTGAGTGCTTCTTGCGGCGGAACGCGGCTGCGATCTCTTCAAATGACTTTCCTTTCGTTTCTGGTACTTTAAAGTACGCAAATAGAAAGAAGGCTAAAAGCAGAGCTGCAAAGATCACAAACACATACGGTCCACACAGGTCCTGCAACAAGAAAAGGGAGAACAGAGGGAACACCATGAGCACTGCAGGGATTACTTATCATTTGTGCCACAGATGGTTAAGATTTTCAGAAGGATTTAGATTTCTGATAATTACATGCAACTCCAGCACTGTGATCACACAAATCATTTATTTGTAAGGTTTTAGAAGGCTTTTTTACTGCAATGTATTGGAAACACATTCCAACGATGAAGTTGCAGGTCCAGTTGCAGAAGCCGGCGATGGTGATGGCGGCGGGGCGCGGGCCTTGGCTGAACAGCTCGGCCACGATGAACCAGGGGATGGGCCCGGGCCCCACTTCGAAGAAGATGACGAAGAGGAAGATTGCGACCATGCTAACGTAGCTCATCCAGGCAAACTGGCTCTGCAAGAGGGTGAATTCGGTGTCACCGTCCCAACGTGACTCTCATTAATTAGCCCTGATTAATTGCATTTTTTTTTTCTTACACAGACAAGCAAGGAAAAGAACGTGTGTGTAAATAAAACTCCCAGAGGATGAACAGCAGCGGGTTAGATATTGCTGTTTGCTGTGCTGGAGTAGTCTAAGTGAGCACCATTAATATGAACTGCATTACCCTGGCTGCCAGCAGCAAGGGGGCCGTAGGCAGGAGCAGGGTGCGAGCACTGGCTCTGTGCAGCCTCTCTGGAGGAGCTCCACGAGCAGACGCCTGGGTAGAACACATCCAGGAAGCTTGGGAGTGCTCCTCTGAGCAGTCTGGGCGTCTGACCTGGGTGAATGTGTGTCGTCTCGGTGATTTTGCAGTTCAGCAAAGCTGATGGAGCTCTGCAGAGCTCATTTTGCTTGGCTGTGCCCCTAGAAGCAGCAGAGCACGGTTTTGCTGTGCCCCTAGAAGCAGCAGAGCACGGTGCTAGTGTCGCTGCTGGCAGAGGGACAGGGCAGGTCACAGCTGTATCAGCCCAGTTGCATCTTCAAACCCTCGCTTTGCTTGTGGAGTCACCAGAGAGGCTAAAACCTGTTGCCATCAATAACCAGGGTTGAGGATGGCACCCACTGCTTATTTCCCATCATACCGAGTTTGGAACTGTCTGTAATAGGGACTGGCAGCATCTCCTCTACCTGTCCTCACACACTGCCTGTGTCTTTCACAGCCCTTCCTCTCCATTGGGGGCTTGAAGGAACAATTTGTCCTTTCTTTTCTATGACAAGACACCAATGTAACATCCATGCATCAAGCAAGGGAGACCCAAGTTGAAGGTTTAGGGCACACACTGAGTATGGAAGTATGTCCAGAGTTCACTTATCAGATGTGGGATCATCCCTTGGGAATAGGATAGAGCTACATGTAGGCGAGAGTTGAGTTTGTTGGAGAGCTCAGGGAGGAGGTGAGCAGGTTTCTAGGAGTGCTTAAGTGAGCGCGTGGGTATCATGGGGCTGGAGAGGACAACCTCCTCAGACACTGCTATAACCAGAGATGGCTCTAGTCATGGCCATTTTGAACTGTACTTTCTAAGGGCTGATGTTTTCCAAACTTCTTTGAGATGAAAATGCAAAACAATCAGTTTAAGTAGTAGTTTGTCTTTTCTTATTTGCAAACCATTGAGAAAATAAAGAAATCCTTACCAGGAGTGCAAGTCCAACTGTCATGGCCACAGCGCTTACCAGCATACCCATCAAACCAGCCATGAACAGGGAGCGTCTCCCTGCCTTCTCCACGAGGAAGAGCTGTAGAAATACAGGAAACAAATCCAGCTCTGGCATTTCTAACAAGTTAATTCAGGTCTCTTAGCAGCCAACAGTCTACCACTATTAGCAGTGGGCAGGTACCACTACCAGGCAGCATTGCAATGTGCTAGCTCACATGGTAGAAATTTATGTGCTGGTTTCCAAAAGTCACAACTGAAACTCAGCACGTGTCTATCAGGGAGGCATATTAAGCAGCTGCCTTGCTAAGGGCAGGGCAAAACCATGTAGGCACAGAGCTCACGCATTTCCAAACTCCAAGGATTTCCCACTCTTCCTTTCTTTAAGGAAGAATAAAGTCGCAGGGTTGCACTAGTTTGGAAACAGCCTTCGAAGTGTGGCATGATATAAGTCACATCACATATCTTTGCACAATCCCTGTGCTAAGGCAGGGAAAGTTCTGTAGCTATAGCCTGGTCCTGGCAGGTGGAAAAAGGACTTTTTCCTCCTGTGGCTTCCAGACATTTTGTTTTTTTCCTTCCCTGGTAACCACAAGACTTAACTTGCTCCCTCTCAGCCTCTTTTGGGGGACACCAGGCATCTAAGTCTGAACCAGTGAAGTGACTGGCAGCTGTGGGTAGCTCCAGGGGGCAATGCACCTTGCTCTGAGACACCGTGCATTAGCCTCTGAAGCTGCCTGCTCCTTGCCTTCCCCTCTAAAGGACACCTGTGGCCGTAAATTCAGTCTCACTTTCCTAAAATTTTGGCAGATGATATCAGCTTCCAGGAGCCTGTTCTCTATCTCACTTTCCTAAAATTTTGGCAGATATCAGCTTCCAGGAGCCTGTTCTCTGGAGGCAGTTCATCCTGCTGACTGTTCAGAAGCAGAGGATAAGCCTCCACAATCCCTTCTCCCCTCGCCAAGGGCCTCCTGTCTATCTGTGGTTCTGCTGTTGTGCCTTTTAATCGGGCTCTGTCATTTATTGATGGGCCGTGAATACTTTTTAAGTGCTCACAGCCAAAAGAAGCAAACGCTCTGCAGGCTGTAAGTACAGCACACTTGTGGATGATAATGAATTGCAGGAGAAGAGACAAGCTAGGAACAGATCTCCTTCCACCACACATTCCATCTTGTTTTTATGGGCCCTGGGTCTACTTTCTCCAAAGCAGTTACACCCCAAGAGCTCCTGTCTTTTTGGCATTTTATGGTGGACTAAGACCTCTTACAGCTGTGTATTTCTACCTTACATTTAGTAGTGGTGGGTAAAAGGCCTTTTTCTTCCTAAGGCTCTCTGTAAAAATGAGGGAAGTGGCTTGGCTTGGTGTTTTTTGCTCTTCTGATAATAACGGCCACTTTACAAAATAATTGCCTGCTGATTGGAACTGTGTTAATAGTCTCTGGAAAGTGACAAATGATGAGAAAGGCTGTGAAAATGGAAGCCAGCCTTTTATTGCCACAGATATGATGAGGATGGGTGCTACATTAATTCATTATTGTGGAATAGCCTCTGGATGTTACTCAGGCAGGTATTTTGTAAAAACAGAAGAGAATTTAGAAGACAATGGGTAAAAGAGAGGTTGTGGGCCTCTGGCTTTCCCTGTCACAATGCAAAGCATCTACCTGTTTCCCAGATAAAATAGGATCAGTAGAATATCAGCCTCCAAGATATCTTTTATTTTTGTGGAAATGCCAATCTACCTGAGCTTCCCTCAACATGACAATGCATTTCTAATTCATGGAGTATTTAGCCGTGCTGTTTGACAGCAGTGGCTTGTATTTTGAGGCTTAATTATGAAATGGGACGTGTCTAAGGAAAGATTTTTCCTGAGAGTAAGGTGTGCGAGGTTGGCCCTGCAGAATTGCAAATCGCAGTCCCAGCACCAGGATAAAATCTTGTTTTTTGCAAGCTAGGCCAAAAATATTTACTTACAGAGATAACAGTGAAGACTGTGTTCACCACTCCAACGCCAATGGTTGCATAAACTGGTTGATCAACTCCAGCTCTCTCAAAAATGTTTGTAGAGTAGTAAAAGATCTATCAAAATACATTAGGATTAGATAACAAAGCTGGTGGGACTTTTTGTCCTCTTGAGGGAAGAGTTGCAATTGCTTGGCTGAGATTTGAAGTAATTTAATTATGATTAGTTTTTCAACTTTTTAGTGGTTTGTTATAGTAATTAAAGCTGAAGCTTTCAAAGAAACCTAAGGGAGTTTAAAATCCCATTGAAATTCCCCTCCTGAACTATGGCATTTTCATATTTAAAAAAATATTTTCTTCCGTGTAGTTGTTCTGTGTATAATCTTGAAAGCCAGTCACTAGCACAGTAATATTGGAGACAAATACCTTAATATGACTGAATTTTAAATGAATTTTATAATATCCTTGATGCACTGGAATGACTCTTTTTTTCTCAAAGAATATAGTAATTTGTGTCTTATGGAATTTAAGGATGAGTAATAAATGGCTCCATAACCCAGCTGGACTTACCGCATTGATTCCTGAGAACTGCTGGGATATCTGGACCATCAGTGCCACTATGACCGCCTGCCTGTACTTCCCAGAGGTGAAAAGCTGCTTTATGGAGACTTTCTTTTCACTAGCAGCTTCTTGTTTTTCCTTTTCCATCTCAGCAATCTCTTCCATCAGATCACAGTTTCCTCTAAGCCTTATCAGATCTCAAGAAAAAGAAGATCACTGCTTTATTTTCAAGGGGAAAGATGCAAACAAGGAATACTGTAGCAAGAGCAATCATTCTAACCAAAGCTCATGAATGGACATGATGAATGTGTCCCAAACTGCAGCTCTGAGGAATCCAGCAGCACATCTACTGCTCAGCGATGGCCCAGGGAAGCTCCTGAATGTGTCTGCTGGCAAGGTGCAGCTGTATTTAGTTGTTCATGAGCTCCAAGATACCAGGTTCCAGCCTCATGTTTCAATAATGCTTGTTAGTCCCATATAAACATGTCCTGGTCCAAAGCTAATTTATACTTTTTCAGCTCAGAGCACAGCTGTGCAATGCTCTGCCCCTCAGCATGTGGGTGCACCCTGTTTTCATCAATGCTGGCTTTTCATCTCACTTTTCAGCTGTTTCCTACCATCAATTGCTCTTACTCCGTGCAGAGACAGCTGGAATGAGCTAAGCTGTGCCATGCTGGGAGGTGCATAAGCTATTGCACTTATAAACTGTCCTGGGTTTCCAGGGTAATTGTGGATATCACTGAGGAGGGAGGACAGCTGTCTCCCAAAAGATGTCATTTTATACCAGACATCAAATACCATTTTATACTAGAATCAAAGCACACCCCAGAAGCAGGCCCGTGTCACCCAGACAGTGGGTAAGAAGTCAAAAATTACAAATCTCTTGTTGTGAGATGGAACAACTGTACCCACTTACCCAGCCTAATAGTATAAAAACAATTACAGACAAAACCTGAAATTGTGTCTTACTTTTTTTAGCTTCCTCCACTTTTCCCAGTTTGATGTAGAGGTATCTGGGGCTCTCAGGACAGAGCAGGAGCAGGAAGAACTGCAGGAGAGCAGTCGCACCAGACAGAGCAAGGAGCAGGGGCCACATCTTATCGTTGCCCATCAGAAAGTCTAGTCCAAGAACCTGGAATAATTCAATCATGTTTGAATGCAGCTGATATACAGTTTAGAACAAGAAACTGATCAACTATTGTGATATTTTTAAGTGACAACCTGGAAAAAACCCAGAAGCAACTAGTTCTCCTCATTGCCCACAGTATGCTTTCTTTAGTATGATACACATTTTTAATGAGGAAATGAGCACATGACATAAAATGTCATGAGCAAGGCACAGGCCTGTCTGTGTTGTTCCATCTGCACTGCTGTGTGTTTGCAGATACCAGGCCACTAGTGAAAGTCTGACTGTAAAATAGTAAAAGAGAGCCAGGCACACTGCCCTAAGGAGCTCCACAAAAGTCTGCAGCTCAGACTGAAATTCATGCTTCTTGGGATACCTGATGCACTAACAGAGTGAAGCCTGGGGCTGCAGCACAGCACCTGGAGTTGACTTTCAGTAAATATGTTAACTCCAGCTTTGAGCGTGCGTTTATGGTATTGAAAGCTCAATATGAAGGATCTCATGCTCAGGATCCTGTCTGGCTCTGAGGAGATGCACAAAAAATAATTACAGGGGATGGGAGAAATTGTCTGAACGGGCATTTTTGATTTCAGGAGAGGAAGTGCTCTTCCTCTGAATGAAGTAAGGAGTTCAATCCCATCAGAACAAATTGCTTGAAACTGTCCTTCAGGTTTGTGGTGAAATTTTGAGAGATTTCTCAAGGATTTTCTCAGATTCTCCCTGGGGGCTGCGTGGCGCTGCGCGTGCTGCCCCTTACCTGGCTGAAGAGGATGCCCGTGACGATGGCGAGCTGGTGCAGCGTGCCCAGCGCTCCTCGCAGCGCTGTGGGGGACACCTCGCTCACATACATGGGCACCAGGCCGGAGGACAGTCCTGCACAGAGCACACACGGGCGTCACGTCTTCAGCTGGCAGCTCAGCAATCAACAGAAACAGCTTCCCAAACTGGAAAGGAGGATGAAACCTTGTGCTGGTTGCTGTGTCTTGCCAGTCCCTCATGTCACCTTTTCCCTGGCCAGGAGAGGGGAATGAAATACCTGGCACTTCTCAAGAAGTGTTCAGATATGCCCCAATTCAGAACCGCAGTTCAGTAGATCTTTACATTTGAACACCTACATT